GAAGAAGGAGTTGGAGAGGAAGAGGAAGAAGGAGGAGGAAAGTAAAAGGTTGGAGCAGGATGTCCGGATGCTCCTCGATACCGGAATGTTGCAGTTCCTTGAGGACAAGCGCCCGGTCGAGGAGATATTCCGCGACAATGCAACAATCAACCTCCTCAGAGAGGCCAGGGTGGCCGAACTGGCCTTGGAGGTGGGCCGAGCCTTAGGTGCGGTTCGGCTGGTCTCGCGAAGGTCCCGTACCTTAAAGGGGACCTTCGTGGGACTGCTGAACCGCGCCGTGGCCACCTCCGAGGCGGTGATGGCCACCCTGCTCGCGCGAACGGCGGAATTGGACAACCGGGGGGAGGAGGCCTCGGAAACAAAAAGGGAGGCGGAGGAGCTCCGAAATGAGCTTAAAACACTCAGGGTGGAAAACAGGAGGCTGGGCGAGGAGCTGGAGGCCATAAAGGCCTCCACCTTCTCGACCCCCGCCCCTCTTCTCTCTTTGCTCCCCAGGGGGAGAAAATTGTCGTACGTGGAGGCGGCGGGATCAACGACATCAACGACTACGTCGGCGGAGGAAGAAGAGGAGAAGAACAGGAAGGAGGACAGGAGGAGGAAGAAGAAGAGGAGGAGGGAAACCAACCTTCCCTCCCCCCCTCCTCCCTCGAGAGGGAAAGAAGCGAAGGTGGGGGTGCTTATAGATGTCCCGTCGTACGATAACCTCCCGGAGCACCCACCCCCTCCAACTTGGAGCACAGAAAAGGCGGAGGAGGAGTTGGACGCCGCCATGGCCGTCTCGGCCCATGCTTGCGGTCATGAGGAGGAGCTCCGCCGCATGAGGGCGGAGCTCGACTCCTTAATGGCGGCAAGCGGAGGGGGCCGGGCGGCTGTGGCGGTGGCGACACCAGCAACGACCACGGCGCAGGCGGACACCCAGGCACCGCGGACACAAGTGGAGCCGAAGGGGTCCAAGGAGGGAAGAAGGAAGGAAAAAAGGAAGAGGCAGAAGAAGAGGAGGAAAGAAAGGGCCAAGGAAATGAAGGAGAAGGAAGAGAGAAAGGCCCGGGGGGAAGGAAAGGGAATACCGGCAAGGGAGCTGCTGGAGGCGATCCGGCGACCAACCGGACCCCAGCGGGAGCCAGTAGGGAGGAACGAGCCTACGTGGTCCCAAGTGGTGGGAAGGAGGGCGAGGCAGGGGGGGGGGGAAATGGGACCTCCACCGTCTCGGCCGCTGCCCTACCGAAACAGAAGGAACCCGGGAGGGGGACGTCGGCGAAAATGCCGGGCAAACCGAAGCCGCCTCGCTCGGCGGCCGTCACTGTCACATGCCCCGACGGAAAGTATGAAGAGTTCATGCTGGAGGCCAGGCGCCGGATCAGGCCGGCGGACCTTGGGATCAAGGTGTCCCTAAGGGTCCGCCGGGCCCTGAACGGGGCAATGTTAATTGAGATGCCTGGCCTCAATGTCGGGGCGTTCGCCGACCGGCTTGCGGAGGAGCTCCGCAAGCTGGCGGCGGAAAAAGGCCCCGGTTATCGCGTCCAACGTCCGGCTAAGTTCGCAGCTTTGCGAATCGCTGGGCTGGACGCGACGACCGGGGCCGAAGAGGTGGCAGCCGCGGTGGCCCTCGCTGGGGGATGCACGCCCGAGGAGGTTTCCTCGGGCTTGATGAGCGTCTCCCAGCGGGGGACTGGAGCTATGGTGGTGCGGTGTCCGCTGGCAGCGGCCGCTAAGGTCGCCGCCGCGGAGCGGGTACCAGTCGGATGGACCTGCGCCGGGGTGACGGCGCTGCCCGCTCGCGCAACATTGTGCTTCCGCTGCTTGGAGCGGGGACACGTGCGCGAGCGGTGCACAAGCGCTGTCGACCGCAGCGGTATGTGCTACCGTTGCGGTAACCCCGGCCACCGCGCCAAGGGATGCCAGGAGGCGGTGAGGTGCCCGGTATGCGCTGAGGCGGGCAGGCCCTCCGGTCATAAGATCGAAGGACCTGCTTGCAAACCCCCTCCCGGGAGGAAAAGGGGGGGAAGGAAAAAAGAGGGAGAGAGGCAAATGGGGGGGGGGAAACTACTAGCGGGGGGATGCCCGAACCATCACCGCCAGGGGAGGACCGGACCCCATCAAGCCTGAGGAGAGGAGGAGAAGGGCCTCCCCCCCCACCGAAGGAAGAAGGAACTGCAGTAGTTCCTACTGCCTCACAGGCAAAAACCCAGGAGGGAAAGGGGGTTCTAATAGGCAACCTCATCAATTTTGACTGGGAACCGGAGACCACCCAGGAACCGACACCTCTGCCCAGAAGAAAAAGGAGAGGGGAAGAGGAGGAGGCCCATAGAGATGAAGACGATCTGAAGGTAAGGAGGGTGGAGCCCTTGGGCACACCCCCAGCAGCGGTGGAGAGGGGGGAGTCGGTGGGAGCGCTGTCCCTGGCCCCCCTCAGGTTGGTCCCCCCTCGTACCCCCCAGAGGAGGAAACCTCGCAGGTAGGGAGCTCCCATATCTCTGCAGAGACACCCGCGATGGAGGCCACCACGGCCGAAACCCCCTCCGGGGAGACCGAGACGGCAGAGCCGTCGGAAGTCTCCCACGAGGAGGGGGTTGAAGTAGGCAGCCCGGAGGAGGCGTGAAAGGCCTAGCCTTCACGCTACTCCGGGCCCTATAGGCCAACCTCGGCCGCGGCGCCCGGGCTCAGGATCTCTACTTGCAGAGAATGGCCGAGCTGGGCGCCGGGCTGGGGGTGGTCGCCGAGCCGTACTGGGTGCCGGTACCAGGTCCGAACTGGTTCGGCAGCCCGGACGGCTCGGTGGCCATGGTGGCGAACCCTGTGGCGGGGACCCCTCCCTGTACTTTTAGGGAGAACGGGTCCTCGTACGTGGCGGTCGATTGGGGGCCCATCACTGTGGTGGGGGTATATCTCTCCTACCGCAGGAATAAGGCCGGTCTCGGGGAGCTCGCCCCAGTGAAAAGGATCCTTGACAGGATCGGGGAATTGGTACGTAGGTGCCATCCCCGACCTGTCGTGATTGCCGGGGACTTCAACGCCCACTCGGAAGGGTGGGGCTGCAGTCCCCGGCAAAGGGACCCTCGGGGCGAGTCCGTGATCGGCTGGGCAGCGGGGCTGGGCCTCCTGTTAATGAACAGGGGCTCAACCAGCACCTGTGTGAGGCCGAGGGGGAGTTCGGTCATAGATTTGACCTGGGCCACCCCCTTGGCCGCCAGGATGTTCCACGAATGGAGGGTGGAGGCGGAGAGCGAATCGCTGTCTGATCATAGACATATAGCGTGGGCCCTCCGCCTCCCCAAACCCGCACAGGTGCTGGCCCGCTGCCCAGGGGAGGGGAACTTTCCCCTCCCCAAAAGATGGGCTCTTAATCGACTAGATTCGGACAGGTTTCGGGCGGCCGTCCTTGCGGCCACCTGGCACCTAGATGTGGGGCCAGGTGAGTGGGATCCCAGCCCCACGGATGGGGCTGGGGAAATAGTGGGCATTGTGGCGTCGGCATGCGACGTCGCGATGCCCCAATCCCACCCCCGCCGGCGCCGGGCCATGTACTGGTGGACGGAGGAGCTGGAGGCCCTCCGAGACTCCTCCGTCCACGCCAGACGGGCGTACTATCGGGCCCGGCGACGAGGCGGGGACGCCGCAGGGATAAAAGAGGGCTACCTGAGAGCCAGGAAAGCCCTCAAGGTCGCCATCGTCGAGGCCAAGCGAACGGCCTGGGAGCAGATGGTGAGCTCCCTGGACGACGATCCGTGGGGGCGCCCATACAAAAGGGTCATGGGGAAGATCCGCCCATGGGTGCCCCCACCAACGGAGACGTTGGACCGCCAGGCCCTCGAGGGGTTCCTGGATGCCCTCTTTCCGAGGGCAGAAGGGGGCCCCCCCATGATCCCGACCCCCCCGTTGGGGGAGGGTGATTGGGACGAGGGTCTGGCGGTGAGTCCAGAGGAGCTTACTGCGGCCAGGAAAAGGCTCGGGGCCAAGGGGAAAGCCCCTGGCCCCGACGGAATTCCTGGCCGGGCCTGGGCCCTCGCCCTCGGCGAGGGAAACGTGTCCGAAGCCACACGCAGGGTTTTCAGCGGGTGTCTGAGGGAGGGGATATTCCCCCCAGAGTGGAGGAGGGCCAGACTGGTCCTCCTCCCCAAGGAGGGCAAAGCACCCGGGAGTGCGTCGGCCTATAGGCCGATATGCCTGCTGGACGAGGCGGGCAAGATGCTGGAGCGCATCGTTGCCGACCGCCTCGTCCAGCACCTGTCCTCGGAGGGGCCGGACCTCCACGACCGCCAGTATGGGTTCAGGCCCGGAAGGTCAACGCTGGATGCTATCCAGTGCTTCCGGGACCTGACCCGGGCGGTCGTGGAGGAGGAGGGCGGGGTGTTGTTGGCAGTGTCGTTAGATATAACGAACGCCTTCAACACCCTGCCCTGGCCGGAGATTGGACGGGCCCTCGAACACCACGGGGTGCCCGTCTATCTCCGGCGAATCCTATCGGCCTACTTCGGGAGCAGGGACCTCGCCTTCCCAGTGGAGGGCGGGGTTCAAGGCCGGCGTGCTATGGAGCGCGGTGTTCCGCAGGGGTCGGTTCTCGGCCCCCTGCTATGGAACATCGCGTTCGACCGGGTGCTGCGAACTCCTCTCCCCCCGGCTGCCACGTCGTCTGCTATGCAGACGACATCTTAGTGGCGGTGAGGGGGAGGAGCTGGGGGAAGGTTCGCCTCCGCGCGGAGGCTGCAGTGGCATCGGTGGTGGGAACCATCGAGGGCCTGGGACTAAAGGTGGCGCCCCAAAAGACTGAAGCCGTGTTTTTTCACGACGGCAGTCGAGGGGCGCCGCCTGAGACCCAGGCGGCCTAGACCTGAGATTCTAGTCGATGGCGTCCGCATCCGCGTCGGGCCGACGATCAAGTATCTCGGCCTGACGCTGGACGGCCGCTGGGATTTCGGCCCGCACTTTAGGGACCTGGCCCCCAGGGTGCGCAATGCGACAGTGGCGGTAGCCAGCCTGCAGCGCAACCTTGGGGGCCCAGGATGGAGGGCTCGCCGCCTATATACGATGGCCGTGCTGTCGATCGCATTATACGGGGCGCCAATATGGGCGCCCCAGCTCAACGCCTGGCGAGAGGGCCAAAGGAGGCTGAGGCAGGCGTTGAGGCCAATGATGGTCAAGATGACAAGATCGTACAGCACGGTCTCGTATATGGCGGCGATCACCCTGGCTGGCTTCCCTCCCGTGGAGCTCATTGCGGAGGAACGCAGAATCCTCTATTAGAGGATCAAGGAGCTTCACGAGGGGGGGGGGCCTAAGAGCCGGGAACGTGCGGGCCTTGAAGTCTCAAGCTGTGGCCCGTACCCACACAATGTAGGCGGACAAATTGTCCGACCCACGGGGGTACGGGCCCGAAACAGCGGAGGCCGTCCGCCCCTACCTGCCGGAGTTTGCAGGCAGGAGGGGATGCGGATTGTCCTTCCATCTGGTGCAGATACTCACTGGCCATGGGTGTTTTGGCAAGTATCTGCACCGAATAGGGAAGGAGCCCACCATTAGATGCCACCACCGCCTTGTGCTGATGGACACGGCGCTCCATACCCTGGCCGATTGTACGGCCTGGGAGGGGGAGCGCCGTATCCTGGCCGGGGCATTGGGGTGGCGCGACGGGGCGATCTCGCTCCCGCGCATGGTCGCGGTCATGTGCGGGAGCGAAGAGGGATGGGAAGCGGCGACCTTCTTCTGCAGGGACGTAATGTCCAAGAAGGAGGCCGCCGAGAGGAAGCGCCGGCCACACCAAACCCGTCGTCGCCGGCGACGACGGGGTGGCGGGCGACCCAGGGGGAGTCATAGACAGCGGGTCCGGGGGGATATCGGCCGAGGAGGAGGAGGAGGGAACCTCGACTAGCGGGGATTCAAACCCTCCTCCTCGGCCGCCCCGGGCCCGACTCCGTCGGCGGGGGGGACCCGGCTCTTTCTCCACATAGTGGTGAAAGATGGATGCCCCCTGCCACGGAAAGGTTAGGTTAGGGGGGAGTGGCGCCCGTTTGGGGACGGCCCACTCCCCAAAAAACCCACCTCCCCGACAAGGAGAGGGGGGTAAGGGGTGAGGGCGGATGCCCCCTCACCCCATAGGTGAAACCAGAAGGCCAATCGGTCGGTCCCAGACCGACCGGGACCGCGCCCTGGATTCCCTTTGTAGAACAAGGCGCGGTAAATGATGGCAGGGGCTCGACAATCGAGCCCTGGGGCCGGAGGGGTTGGGAAGGGAATATGGGAATAGTTCCCCTGACTCCCCCCTCCTCGGTCCGACAGGTAGGCATCCCGCAGGAGTTTTAATCAGTAAGAGTCTGACATAACCCCCGGCCCCCCCCCAAGGGGCCGGGGGTATCCATGATGGATTTCCCCTGCGTAACCAAAAAAAAAAAGAGTGTAAGTTGTTGTGACGCCGTTTTCAGAGAATAATTAAAGGTCATGGTAGCGTTAAAGAATGGAATTTCATCCTATGCGAATTTAGTCGCGCTCTTATTAAATATTAGTCCTGTATAAAATGTCATATAAAAGTATTGTTTCGCATTCACGAGATTTTGTCGTGAATTCTGCTCTCAGATTGGATCGCGGGTGAATATTTTTTAATGCGACGGGGAATAGAACGTGAAAATCTTGTATGCCTCTGAATCCGAAAACGATTAGGAGAAGAAGTGAATATTTTTCAATACGAAAGTTCGCATTTAAAAATTATCGATTGCGATTGAATACAAGGCATATTTGAAACGAATTGAATCCTTGTTAATGCGAAGCATTCACTACTGCCATCTCGGATTTAGCGCGGTGAAATTTAATGGGAACTAATACTTTTTATTTTCCCTTTCTTCGGATCAGAAAGCAGAATTCAGACGTATTCAAAATGTCAATACTTTTTAATATGTTTCAGTTCGACATTTTATACAGGGAGATTATCCGCTGCGGACAATAACTCTTCTATTTTTCATTTAATATTAAATGATGATAAATAACATTTAATTGCATTCGTTTGGCTTTTTTTATTTCGAAAATAAGAAAATATATACCGGGGTGAGATTTTACCCATGACAACATTAACCTGATTTTCTTTGATGCTTTTTTTAAAAGTTCAAATATTTCGTCGACTCGCGGGATATTTATAATCGGAGTCTCGTCACGTTAATTACGTGAATAACAAGTGCTCCTCCGAGCGGATTGAATGCTCACCGACGGCCACTGTCAGTGCCACGAGCGAATGTCCGGAGCGAACGGGATGCTGAATTAAAAAACAAGACGAAGTGAACGGGACACGGACAACGATACATCATGCGTCTCCATACATGTCAAATTGTTTATTATAGAAGAGACTTTGATACGGCAATATATATTCGAAGATTTAACATTTAATACGTACTTTTAATTTTTCTGCTCCTTTCCCCCTCTCCCTCGCTCTTTTTAGACCACCGGGCATAGTCTGGCATAGAGATGGCAACTGTCATTGCAGCACGGACATAAACCGCTTGAAAGTGGATGTAGCATGGACTTCCACTATATGCAGATTTTACCACCGAGACCTGAAAGTGGATGTACTATCGTAGTTCCCCTCTCAAAATGGATGCAGATGGCGTCTTTTCCCAGTGCGGAAAGTCGGTGTCGCAGAAAATGTCGTATTGGCCGCTCTCAGGTTACTCTCTGGTTTCGAGACGCATTCTGTCTTGACGAAAATGAAAGCTTCTGCTCTGACACACATGCATAGTCATCGATTGAAGAATAGAGAAAGTATGTCATTTAAATATGTCATTTAATAAAATATATCAACAATAAATTTGACATATAAAAATAGGCTCGGGCATTAAATATGTTTTGTAAAAATGAAAAACAAAAGAAGAATATTGAAAATCTTCCACCCGAGTGACGAAAATGATTTCGACAAAATCAGATTTATTTTGTGAAATGGCCATGCCGTACAAAATACGAGGTAGATCACGGAAATGACGGATTTTATAGAGCCCAAAATCGCATTTTTGTTAGGTAAGAAAAAGTATGCAGCAAACACAATAATGCATGTAACATGCATGTTAGTTATAATTTCCTACTTAATAATATAACTGTTATATAACTGTTATATAACATTTATATTGTTGAGTAAGACTCGGGTGGTCACCCAATCAGGTGGAAGATTTTCAATATTCTTCTTTTGTTTTTCATTTTTACAAAACTTATTGGATGCCCGGGCCTGTTTCTATATGTCAAATTTATTGTTCATATATTTTATTAAATGACATATTTAAATGACATATTATCTCTATTCTTCAATCGATGACTGTGCAGGCGTGTCAGAGCAGAAGCTCCCATTCTCGTCAAGACAGAATGCGTCCCGAAACTCATTATAAAAACTTGACAACCTTTCTGTCCATGACTGTACGCCATAGTAAGGTTCAACTTTCACGTGTGATCCTGATGAAACGCTCACGTCGCGATTTGAATCTAGGATACGAAGAGGTGGAATAAGGGACGCAATGCCACTTCCTCTCGATATGCTATCCTAATCAGAGCTCTGTTTTGGGATTCTAAATCATGTGGACCAATAAGAGGTAGAGTCCGAGTTCAGGCACACTGAACTAAATGCGCATGCTTAGGCATATGACGTAGTTTTTACTGAGAACTCGCTATTGATTGCGTTCGACAGGAGAAGCTGCTTTGTAATTCTCATAAAATTCGTGAATCCGATTGGGGTGCATGCTTTTGGATTCATCCAAATTTAAAAATATACGCCAATTAGATTCACGAATTTTATAGAGTTGCAAAGCAGCTTTTCCTGTCGAACGCAATCAATGGCCACGTTTACACCGTACGACCTAATTGCGACTTGAACTATGCCATGGCCTAAGCAGGTTTAGTCCCTAACTGTTTACACCGAAAAAGACTTAAAAATTGAGGAGGTTGTATTTAGTCCACTTTGGTCCGGCTTATCTTAACCTTCAAAATGGCATCTACACAACATATTTACACGTTTTTTATATTTGAAAGAAATAGGAGATATATTGTGTACTGGAAAATTATGCGAGAAAGAAAAAAAATGTGGGACAAAATTCGACAACTGCACAGGATGCAGAAAATATTACATGTGGAATATATGAGAATGTTTCCTATGGCCAACATTTTGGAAATATATTTGGACGTGATACAGGCTGAAAGAAGTTTATGGATGAAACTGAGAAGCAATAATTTTTGGAATGAAATAGTGCTATGTACGTATACAGACTCAGATAGAGAGATAGAGACTCAGATAGAGACTGGATAGAGAGTTTTCGAATGTGCAAGGAAACTTTCAATAAGTTATGTTTTTTGTTACAACCTGCTTTGAAGCCTAAGCCTGTTATGTTAAAATCAAGAGAACCGTTATCAATAGAAAAGCAAGTTGCTGTCGCTTTATACAAATTAGCAAGTTGTGCAGAATATCGTGTCGTGGGAAATGTATTTGGCATTCACAAATCAACAGTGAAAAAGTGTCTCTATAGAGTTGTAAATGGTATAAATGAATTAATGATGAAAGATTATCTTCAAATGCCGAATATACACGAAGCTGCAGAAATAGCTATGGATTTTGAAAAAATATCACATATCCCACAAATTATTGGATATTGATGGTTCGCACATACCCATTTTGGCTCCTGCAGAAGGCTATCGAGATTTTGTTAATCGTAAGGGTTGGCCCTCATATGTTTGGCAAGCCATTGTTGATAACAAATACAGGTACATATTAACATTTAATTTCTTAATAACGGTAAAATAACTGATACATTATTAATCAAAGTATTGTTTATAGGTTTAGAAATATTTGTATTCGTCATCCTGGGAGCACTCATGATGCTGCTGTTTTTAAAGATTCGAGTTTATATAAAGATGTTGAAAATATTATTCCACAGGTAAGATTAAAAATTTAATAATTATTTATATGAAAAATATATTTATACTTTGCTTACAATTTAAAATCATTATATATTTTTTATTGAAGGTTATAAGAAATATTAGTGGCTTAGAAGTACCTTACCTAATTATTGGTGACCCAGCATATCCGCTATTACCATGGTTAATAAAAAGTTATCCTGGTAACGTAACAGCAGCACAAGAATCCTTTAATGTATATTTAAACTCTGCAAGAGTTGTTGTAGAAATAGCATTCGGCCGTTTAAAAGCACGTTGGAGAATATTTTTAAAAAGAATTGATGTAAACTATACATTCATTCCACATATTACTAGTGTCTGCTGCATTTTGCAAAATTTTCTCGAATGTAGGAAGGAACAATTTATTCAGCAATGGCTGAATGATATGATTGAAGCGGAAATAATGTACCCGCAACCTGTTAATGCTATACATCGAGAACGTGATGACATATCTGGGTCAACTATTCGAAAATATTTAACAGATTATTTGTCATAATTATCCGTTGCGTGCAAGTATATTAAAATAAGATATTCTGTTCATATTTAGTATTTTATTCTTATAAAATAAATGTACATTTTTGTAATAAAGTAAATATAAAAGTAGAAATAGAACATTCGTTTATATTTATTTATACGTACATAACACTTATAAATAGTATATAGTACATAACACTTATAAATAAACACTTATAAATGTAAGAAACAGAAATAAAATATTTATATTTATATGTAATGTATATTTAAGTTATGTATGTTTCCTTTTGTTATTATTATCTGCATCATATGAAGATGAGCTTGACGATCCTGGTGAATGCACTGATACATTTGTTTCTTGAAAATATATGGAAGTTGGCGATGATAACGGAGAAGGAATTATTGTAAAAGGTGAGGATGGTGTTGGTGAGCGTGATAACGAAGATGGTGACAATTGTGACGGATACAAATGTTGAGCAGTTGAAAATGTACGCACTGGAATTTGTGAAAACTGAGGATATTGGATGTTGGCAGTTTGCGTTGCTCCTAATACTTTTAAGAAGTTGTCAAACATCATAATTTGATGTTCGTGTTCTTTTTCCATCATCTCTTTTTCCCATTGACATTGATTCTCTATTTGTTTATTTATAGTTTCATCAAATATACACATTTGATCTGTCATAACTCTGTGCATTTCTTCCGCCTGTCTTTTTGCAAAAACTTCAGTAAAATTCTCTGCCAGTTTCATGTTTGTGTTGCGACCTAAAAATATACGAACAATGATTTTAAGTGGCCTTATCTAGAAACTAAAATTATTAGAATCTATATTATATAGTTATAAGCATCGAATTTTTATATATTCTTTACTTAATCTTTTGATGAGATGTTTAATAATACTGACCTGTTTTTCGTTTTTTTGAGGATGGAATATTATTCATCATAGGTATATTTTCACTATTCTCTATTTCATTTGCTACAGCATTCACATCATCTTCAACTTCAAATATTTCTTCCTCATTTTCTTCTAGAATCATATAAATGCACATTATTGCTTTTATGAGTAATAAATAAACCTAACAAAAAGATTATTCATACCTCGAACAATATTGCTTGAATCTATACCAGTATCTTCATTAGCTTGGGCTGATGGCCTTCCGCCAAGTAGTTGTTCCATTTCATCATAAAAAAGAAACGTTTGACGAGCAGCACCACTGACATTATTATTTCTTTTACACTTAAGATACATTTCTTTTAGATATTTTAATTTTATTTTCATTTGAGCACCATTTTTTATAAAACCCATCTCCTTCATCGAAGACTCTAATGAGTTATAAATATCTATGTGCTCAAAGCGTTTTCCATCCATCATTTGCATTATCCTCTTTTCAATACAAACAGCAATAAAAGTTCTTGTTTCCTCTACAGTCCAATTAGAGCCTTTACGTTTCTTTTCACAGCTATTGAATAAAATATTTTTGAGGTTAATTTATACTTTCAAGTTCTATTTATATTACTTTCATTAGCAAAGACATTATTACTTACAAACTTTCATCTTGTTGAGAACCGCCGCTGCAAGACATTTTATGTATTTGTTTTTCTTTATGCACAAACAAATCTTTACACACCAATATCAACTTCAATGCACTTTAGGTCGAGTTCTTAGGTCGCGTTGCGTGTTTACACCGAAAAAGCATACGTCCTATTTTAGGTCAGGTCACTAAAATTCGAGACTTGACCTAAAGCTAGATGAGGTGATCTACCAAGTATTTACAGCAGACGGCCTAAATAATTTAGGTCGAATTTGAGGTATAGGCCGCGGCCTAAGTATACGGTGCAAACGTGGCCAATAATAGCCACTTCTCAGTTAAATCTACGTCATATGCCCAAGCATACGCATTTAGCTCAGTATGCCCGAACTCGAACTCTACCTCTTATTGGTCCTCATGATTCAGAATCCCAACGCAGAGCTCTGATTGGGATAGCATGTCGAGAGGAAGTGGCATTATGTCCCTTATTCCACCTCTTCGTATCCTAGTTTCAAATCGCGACGTGAGCGTTTGATCAGGATCACACGTGAAAGTTGAACCTTACTATGGCGTACAGTCATGAACAGAAAGGTTGTCAGGTTTTTATAATGAGTTTCGAGACTCATTCCGTCTTGACGAAAATGAGAGCTTCTGCTCTCACACACATGCACAGTCATCGATTGAAGAATAGAGAAAATATGTCATTTAAATATGTCATTTAATAAAATATATCAACAATAAATTTGACATATAGAAACAGGCTCGGGCATCCAATATGTTTTCCAAAAATTGAAAAACAAAAGAAAAATATTGAAAATCTTCCACCCGAGTGACGAAAATGATTTCGACAAAATCAGATTTATTTTGTGAAATGGCCATGCCGTACAAAATGCCAGGTAGATCACGGAAATGAGGGATTTTATAGAGCCCAAAATCGCATTTTTATTAGGTAAGAAAAAGTACGCAGCAAACACAATATTGCATGTAACGTGCATGTTAGTTATAATTTCCTATTTAACAATATAACTGTTATATAACCGTTATATAACATTTATATTGTTGAGTAAGACTCGAGTGGTCACCCAATCAGGTGGAAGATTTTCAATATTCTTCTTTTGTTTTACATTTTTACAAAACTTATTGGATGCCCGGGCCTGTTTCTATATGTCAAATTTATTGTTGATATATTTTATTAAATGACATATTTAAATGACATATTATCTCTATTCTTCAATCGATGACTGTGCAGGCGTGTCAGAGCAGAAGCTCCCATTCTCGTCAAGACAGAATGCGTCCCGAAACTCATTATAAAAACCTGACAACCTTTCCGTCCATGACTGTACGCCATAGTAAGTCCAACTTTCACGTGTGATCCTGATCAAACGCTCACGTCGCGATTTGAAACTAGGATACGAAGAGGTGGAATAAGGGATGCAATGCCACTTCCTCTCGACATGCTATCCTAATCAGAGCTCTGCGTTGGGATTCTAAATCATGTGGACCAATAAGAGGTAGAGTCCGAGTTCGGGCACACTGAGCTAAATGCACATGCTTGGACATATGATGTAGGTTTAACAGAGAACTCGCTATTGATTGCGTTCGACAGGAAAAGCTGCTTCGTAATTCTCATAAAATTCGTGAATCCGATTGGGGTGCATCTTTTGGATTCAGCCAAATTTGAAAACATACGCCAATTAGATTCACGAATTTTATAGAGTTGCAAAGCAGCTTCTCCTGTCGAACGCAATCAATAGCGACTTCTCAGTTAAACCTACGTCATATGCCCAAGCATACGCATTTAGCTCAGTGTGCCCGAACTCGAACTCTACCTCTTATTGATCCACATGATTTAGAATCCCAACGCAGAGCTCTGATTAGGATAGCATGACGAGAGGAAGTGGCATTGCTTCTCTTATTCCACCTCTTTGTATTCTAGTTTCAAATCGCGACGTGTGCGTTTGATCAGGATCACACGTGAAAGTTGAACCTTACTATGGCGTACAGTCATGAACAGAAAGGTTGTCAGGTTTTTATAGTGAGTTTCGAGACTCATTCTGTCTTGACGAAAACGAGAGATTCTGCTCTGACACACATGCACAGTCATCGACTGAAGAATAGAGAAAATATGTCATTTAAATATGTCATTTAATAAAATATATCAACAATAAATTTGACATATAGAAACAGGCTCGGGCATCCAATATGTTTTCTAAAAATTGAAAAACAAAAGAAGAATATTGAAAATCTTCCACCCGAGTGACGAAAATGATTTCGACAAAATCAGATTTATTTTGTGAAATGGCCATGCCGTACAAAGTGCGAGGCAGATCACGAAAATGACGAATTTTATAGAGCCCAAAATCGCATTTTTATTAGGTAAGAAAAAGTAAGCAGCAAACACAATATTGCATGTAACGTGCATGTTAGTTATAATTTCCTATTTAACAATATAACTGTTATATAACCGTTACATAACATTTATATTGTTGAGTAAGACTCGGCTGGTCACCCAATCAGGTGGAAGATTTTCAATATTCTTCTTTTGTTTTTCATTTTTACAAAACTTATTGCATACCCGGGCCTGTTTCTATATGTAAAATTTATTGTTGATATACTGTATTAAATGACATATTTAAATGATATATTATCTCTATTCTTCAATCGATGACTGTGCAGGCGTGTCAGAGCAGAAGCTCCCATTCTCGTCAAGACAGAATGCGCCCAGAAACTCACTATAAAGACCTGACAACTCTTCTGTCCATGACTGTACGCCATAGTAAGGTTCAACTTTCACGTGTGATCCTGATCAAACGCTCACGTCGCGATTTGAAACTAGGATACGAAGAGGTGGAATAAGGGACGCAATGCCACTTCCTCTCGGCATGCTATCCTAATCAGAGCTCTGCGTTGGGATTCTAAATCATGTGGACCAATAAGAGGTAGAGTTCGAGTTCGGGCACACTGAGCTAAATACGTATGCTTGGGCATATGACGTAGGTTTAACTGAGAAGTCGCTATTGATTGCGTTCGACAGGAGAAGCTGCTTCGTAATTCTCATAAAATTCGTGAATTCGATTGGGGTGCATCTTTTGGATTCAGCCAAATTTAAAAACATACGCCAATTAGATTCACGAATTTATAGAGTTGCAAAGCAGCTTCACCTGTCGAACGCAATCAATAGCGACTTCTCAGTTAAACCTACGTCATATGCCCAAGCATACGCATTTAGCTCAATGTGCCCGAACTCGAACTCTACCTCTTATTGATCCACATGATTTAGAATCCCAACGCAGAGCTCTGATTAGGATAGCATGCCGAGAGGAAGTGGCATTGCTTCCCTTATTCCACCTCTTCGTATTCTAGTTTCAAATCGCGACGTGAGCGTTTGATCAGGATCACACGTGAAAGTTGAACCTTACTATGGCGTACAGTCATGGACAGAAGAGTTGTCAGGTCTTTATAGTGAGTTTCTGGGCGCATTCTGTCTTGACGAAAACGAGAGATTCTGCTCTGACACACATGCACAGTCATCGACTGAAGAATAGAGAAAATATGTCATTTAAATATGTCATTTAATAAAATATATCAACAATAAATTTGACATATAGAAACAGGCTCGGGCATCCAATATGTTTTCTAAAAATTGAAAAACAAAAGAAGAATATTGAAAATCTTCCACCCGAGTGACGAAAATGATTTCGACAAAATCAGATTTATTTTGTGAAATGGCCATGCCGTACAAAGTGCGAGGCAGATCACGAAAATGACGAATTTTATAGAGCCCAAAATCGCATTTTTATTAGGTAAGAAAAAGTAAGCAGCAAACACAATATTGCATGTAACGTGCATGTTAGTTATAATTTCCTATTTAACAATATAACTGTTATATAACCGTTACATAACATTTATATTGTTGAGTAAGACTCGGGTGGTCACCCAATCAGGTGGAAGATTTTCAATATTCTTCTTTTGTTTTTCATTTTTACAAAACTTATTGGATGCCCGGGCCTGTTTCTATATGTCAAATTTATTGTTCATATATTTTATTAAATGACATATTATCTCTATTCTTCAATCGATGACTGTGCAGGCATGTCAGAGCAGAAGCTCCCATTCTCGTCAAGACAGAATACGTCCCGAAACTCATTATAAAAACCTGACAACCTTTCTGTCCATGACTGTACGCCATAGTAAGGTCCAACTTTCACGTGTGATCCTGATCAAACACTCACGTCGCGATTTGAAACTAGGATACGAAGAGGTGGAATAAGGGACGCAATGCCACTTCCTCTCGGCATGCTATCCTAATTAGAGCTCTGCGTTGGGATTCTAAATCATGTGGACCAATAAGAGGTAGAGTCCGAGTTCGGGCACACTGAGCTAAATGCACATGCTTGGGCATATGATGTAGGTTTAACAGAGAACTCGCTACTGATTGCGTTCGACAGGAAAAGCTGCTTCGTAATTCTCATAAAATTCGTGAATGCGATTGGGGTGCATCTTTTGGATTCAGCCAAATTTAAAAACATACGCCAATTAGATTCACGAATTTTATGAGAATTACAAAGCAGCTTCTCCTGTCGAACGCAATAAATAGCGACTTCTCAGTTAAACCTACGTCATATGCCCAAGCATACGCATTTAGCTCAGTGTGCCCGAACTCGAACTCTACCTCTTATTGATCCACATGATTTAGAATCCCAACGCAGAGCTCTGATTAGGATAGCATATCGAGAGGAAGTGGCATTGCGTCCCTTATTCCACCTCTTCGTATCCTAGATTCAAATCGCGACGTGAGCGTTTCATCAGGATCACACGTGAAAGTTGAACCTTACTATGGCGTACAGTCATGGACAGAAAGGTTGTCAAGTTTTTATAATGAGTTTCGGGACGCATTCTGTCTTGACTAGAATGGGAGCTTCTGCTCTGACACGCCTGCACAGTCATCGATTGAAGAATAGAGATAATATGTCATTTAAATATGTCATTTAATAAAATATATCAACAATAAATTTGACATATAGAAACAGGCCCGGGCATCCAATAAGTTTTGTAAAAATGAAAAACAAAAGAAGAATATTGAAAATCTTCCACCTGATTGGGTGACCACCCGAGTCTTACTCAACAATATAAATGTTATGTAACGGTTATATAACAGTTATATTGTTAAATAGGAAATTATAACTAACATGCACGTTACATGCAATATTGTGTTTGCTGCGTACTTTTTCTTACCTAATAAAAATGCGATTTTGGGCTCTATAAAATCCGTCATTTCCGTGATCTACCTGGCATTTTGTACGGCATGGCCATTTCACAAAATAAATCTGACTTTGTCGAAATCATTTTCGTCACTCGGGTGGAAGATTTTCAATATTCTTCTTTTGCTTTTCATTTTTATAAAACATATTGGATGCCCGAGCCTGTTTTTATATGTCATATTTATTGTTGATACATTTTATTAAATGACATATTTAAATGACATACTTTCTCTATTTTTCAATCGATGACTGTTCAGGCGTGACAGAGCAGAAGCTTTCGTTTTCGTCAAGACAGAATGCGCCCAGAAACTCACTATAAAGACCTGACAACTCTTCTGTCCATGACTGTACGCCATAGTAAGGTTCAACTTTCACGTGTGATCCTGATCAAACGCTCACGTCGCGATTTGAAACTAGAATACGAAGAGGTGGAATAAGGGAAGCAATGCCACTTCCTCTCGGCATGCTATCCTAATCAGAGCTCTGCGTTGGGATTCTAAATCATGTGGATCAATAAGAGGTAGAGTTCGAGTTCGGGCACATTGAGCTAAATGCGTATGCTTGGGCATATGACGTAGGTTTAACTGAGAAGTCGCTATTGATTGCGTTCGACAGGTGAAGCTGCTTTGCAACTCTATAAAATTCGTGAATCTAATTGGCGTATGTTTTTAAATTTGGCTGAATCCAAAAGATGCACCCCAATCGAATTCACGAATTTTATGAGAATTACGAAGCAGCTTTCTCTGCTGAACGTAGCCATTGTTGAACTTGCCTAACTCAGTCAAAACCACACCGTTTGCTCGACCCGGTCTCCTCGATGAGGGATGAATTAACGTTTATTCAACGTTACATCGACTATTTCAATGTCGAATCAACGTTATAGTTCTGGAAAGGATTGAAGTCGTGGTATGACTTGACGCAAGTCTAACGCCCACTCCATTTTCAAGTAGTATTATTTAACAGATTGGCAATTTATTGTCTGGAAAATGGGAAAAAGTAGTAAGAAATGGAAGAAATTACTTTGATTATGGTTCATTCACTTTCCTTTCGAAATAAATCAATTTTAGAAACGAAGAAACGGCAGGAATTAAGTTTACCACTTAGTATAATGGAAAAGGCGGTTGACAATCTGTTAAATTATGCTACTTGTAGATGGAGTGGGCGTCTGACAAAATATTGAAAATGAATAAATTTCATCTTTATAAGATTCATCTTGTACAAGAGCTAAATGAAGATGATTTTGATAGGCGAATTGTATTTTGTGATTTGATGATGGAAAGAATAGCTGAAGATCCTAACTATCTATCAAATGTAGTATTTTCAGATGAGGCAACATTTCAGTTAAATGGTCACGTTAATCGACACAATTGTAGATTTTGGTCAGATACAAATCCTCACTGGATTGAAGAAACACACACGCAGTATCCACAAAAAGTGAATGTTTGGGTAGGCATTTTGAATAATGTTCTCATAGGTCCACACTTTATTAACGGAAATCTAATAGCGATAAAATATGAGAATATGCTAAGAAACGAAATAGTTCCAGCGATACAAGCAATCATGGGTGACAACTTCGAGCATATATGGTTCCAACAAGATGGTGCCCCCTCCCACACATTACGGAAGGGACGTCCGTAATTATCTGGACACAGTATTTCCTCATCGATGAATAGGTAGAAGAGGACCTATAGAATGGTCTCCTCGATCACCCGATTTATCATCTAACGATTACTTCCTGTGGGGCCATTTAAAAGATAGAGTTTACAAAACGAAACCACAAAATTTGGATGACTTATGAAATCGAATTCTTGATGAAGCTGCTCTCATCCCTGCTGATTACATTCAAAAAGCCGTTTCATCTTTTTATGATAGATTAGCTTATTATCAAACTGTTGATGGCGGACATTTTGAACAATTACTTTAAAGCTTTCTAGTATTACCTTAGTTGGCCGGACAACTCCCGACCTTGCCTTAGTTGGCCGGATCATCCTACGATCTTGCTTTAGTTGGCTGGATCATCCTCCGATCTTGCCTTAGTTGGCCGGATTATCCTACGATCTTGCCTTAGTTGGCTGGATCATCCTCCGATCTTGCCTTAGTTGGCTAGATCATCCTACGATCTTGCCTTAGTTGGCTGGATCATCCTTCGATCTTGCCTTAATTGACTGGATCATCCTACGATCTTGCCTTAGTTGGCCAAATTATCCTCCGATCTTGCCTTAGTTGGCTAGATATCTTACTTTAAAAAAACTCGATAACTTCGGAACAGCTTATTCAAATTGGATAAAACCATAGTGATTTGAAAAGGTCTGAAGAAGGGCTATAAGAATATGCAATAAAAAATTGGGAGTTCCATTTAAAAAATCCGGGGTGACCTTGTCCTGACCTTGATGACGCCACCCAAGGTCAAATTGTTAAGATCGGTTAATAGATCTTTTTCAACGCTACAACTTTTGAATTCTGAAACATTTTTTTATAAAGTGTATATTTTTCGAAATTTTCAGGGGTCCCAGGGTTTTTTCTTCATCCTGTATATATATATATATATATATATATATATATATACAGGGTGAGGAAAAAGTCCCGGGCCGGTAAAATATCCCGAAAACCAAGCGTTTTAGAAAAAATGTATCGAACAAAAATTATATGATTTCAAGGGAGATGTAAAATAGCTATATCATTTTGTTTACAAATGGCACTACTTTCGTAATATTCACTGATCATTACTTTTCTTAAACAGAAACCCCAATTTTTTATTACACCGCCTTTTTCTACCAATTAATTTGAACAACTTTTGTCTGAAACATTTTTTTATTTGCCTAATATTTTTTGACATATTTGACAACTTTTTCAATATTTTACTTGCGATATCTCGCTACCTATTTGTCGGAAAAAAGTGGTACTAGACTTTTTTGCTCTATTTAATCTCAAGAATATGTTATTACAACAGCGCCCTGACTTTTACTAACTGACTGACTTTCGGAAATCTCAAAATCATCGAATTAATGGAAGTCAGAGAAGAAATTGCTTTGAAAACTATTTAGCGTGAAATAGAAAAAGATGTGCAAAATGTTGATTCGTTGTTAATTTTAAATAAGTTGAGTCAGTTCGTTGGGAACAAAGAAAGAAATTAATAAATATATTTTAACCTTATTTTAATATTTTATTATTCCGTTATTCTATAATATCAAAGGCTTTTGCGTATACATGCACACTTAAAAATTATAAATTGAATATTATAAATTAAAGTCTACCATATAGAGCAATATCAAAGATTCGTATTTACACGGGCTCGCGTTAAAATTAATTGACAACTTTTAGAGAACATAACAAGATATTAATTTAAATAACGTTTCAACGAATTGGGCAGATATGTTTATAAATCTACGATATATCAAAATATATCGTACACACAGCTTTCTGGTTCCTTCTTCATACACTTCATACTTGATTTTCGCAGTCGGTTAGCGGTTTGACGTAACCAGTCGCTTATATGGGAGCTTTCCTTCGGATGTACATGTACCAGCTTGTACGACAACTGCATATCTATGAAAAATGATTTTCAGAGATCAATACTCGTGAGAAATATATCAGTGGAACGGAAGAAAAAAATGTACTCACTTAGCTGGTGGATGCAACCTGATGGCTTGTTCGCTATTCAATCACATCCCAGTCTGCTTCCTACAAAAGTGATAACAATTCAATAGGATCGATGTGACCCAATATGCATCTATGTATCTGCAGTATATCTTTTACGTATATCGAACCTAACCTGAAATAATATACTCATATAACAAGCGTAATATGGATGCACATGTAACATGTATAACACCAAAGGCTTGTAAGATTACTTGATTAATTTTCTTAACTGTAATAATTGTTTTTTGTGCCTTTTCTTACAGTACTTACAATCAGGTTTGTTGTGGTATTAAGATATTGGCAAAGATTCTGCATTTGCTGAACGGGTCAATCATCAGACTTGTTTTTGCTGGCTGGATCAATCATCATTTTCGTCTTGGGTGGCTGGATTATTTCTATTACGAATTAATCCTTTGGAACATTTCAACAAACATTATATCTCCCAAAGCTGAAACAAAACCATTAATCGAAGAAAAGAATTGATCCAATATCTAAAATTATAATGCTCACATAAATAGCATAATATGTTTGTATTGCATATTCATGCATCTTTAAGACATAAATAATATACATTGGTACAAGTTTAGAATATTAGCTACTTATCTGACATTTGTCCATCTTTCATTTTACTTCTTTTTAACCTCTCTTTTGCATGCTTCCATCGTCTCCTACAGGTTTTATTTTCCAGTTGGCAATGACAAATTCCAATTTGAAGAATGAAACCGCAACAAGTTGAGTTATATTTATCTAGGCATGACACAAAACTGAGAATTCACTTTTATTCATTTATATAATAATATCTTCCTAGAAAAATATATACTTTGTATTGCATATTCGTGTATCTTTAAAGGCTCGTCTACATTAGCTGTAAGAGTAAGGCTGTAAGGTGGCAAGACAAAATGAAACATTTTCATTCGCTGACAGCTTACGTTACAGCTTTATTCTTATAGCTATTATAGACGAGCCTTGAGACGTAAATAATATACATTGGTACAGGTTTAGAATATTAGCTACTTATCTGACACTTGTCCATCCTTCATTTTACTTCTTTCTATCCTCTTCTTTGCATGCTTCCATCGTCTCCTACAGGTTTTATTTTTCAGTTGGTGATGACAAATTAATTCCAATTCAAAGAATGAAACCACAATGAATTGAGTTATATTTATTTAGACATGACACAAAACTGAGAATTCACTTTTGTTTATTTATATAATATCTTCCTAGAAAATATATACTCTCTCTCTCTCTGGCTGTAATACATTAGTGAGTGATTATTGTTGCTCAATACTTTTATTTTATTTTATTTTTATGAAAGTTATAAAATTACAAAGCCACAGTAATTTGTCACTCGCCGATTTATTATAGAATCAGTATTAATTTTTTATAAGGATAATTTATCCATATTTCTTTTTTATTTATATCATATAAGTTTTTTCACCTTATTATTATTTGACTTTTATTTATTTTCATTTTAATTACACATCACATCACAATATATTTACATATGTACGTTTTATTTATTTTTTCAGTTTACTATTTCAACAATGTAAAATTTAAGCGTCGTCTACAATGGCAGTAAGCAATAAGAAGTCTGTGCTCTAGCCCTAAGAAATGGATCAACCACAGTTGATTATTTTTGTCATAATCGACTGTGCTACCGCGATTCTGTAACTCGTTATTGCAGTTATGACACTTTCGTTATTGTTGCGCAGCTTTTGTATACCGTAGAAAAGCTGCGCAACAATAACGAAACTGTCGTTAACTCCAATAACGAGTTACAGAATCGTAGCACAGTACCGCGATTCTGTAACTCGTTATTGGAGTTAACGACACTTTCGTTATCGTTGCGCAGCTTTTCTACGGTATACAAAAGCTGCGCAACGATAACGAAAGTGTCGTTAACTCCAATAACGAGTTACAGAATCGCACCACTGTAGGCCTATTCTGTAACTTCCTAACGACAATGTCGCTACCGTTAAAATAGCGACGTTGTTGCCTGTTCTAACGATGGTATAACGATGAAACTATTCTGTAACTCGATCTAGCGATACAATATCGATATGATTCGATAATATGATTCCGACGTCGCTAAAACCAGTGGCACACGGTGCTTGTTTTCGTGCTGGATTGCTTGTTGGATGAAAATACTGCGTTCTGATTGGTACTTTTCCGAAGATGGATGGAAATACACCAATCAGAATGCAGTATTTTCATCCAGCAAGCAATCCAGCACGAAAACAAGCACCGTGTGCCGTTGGCTTAAGAAAGCGAATATAGTTCATTAGATATTACTCTACTGTCGTAATATTCAGCCAATCACATCACCGTTTTCCTGTATCTCTTTTTGTGAGTTTGCGAACGCCAACATTTCGCATGTATTACAGTCATTTATTTAATTTATAATAAATATTTGCAATTGTATGCAAAAATATGACGAAGTAAGTACAATCTAAAGTGTAAAAATTAATTCAATTAATTATTAGATATACGTATTTTTATAATATATATAAGTATAACTTAAATTGTAACTGGTAATTATTTAGTAGACGGGTCTCACCTTGGATTTCGCTCAAACTCACCTATCTTGTGTATTTTGACGTGTAGAAGCCGAATCTGCAAGTAAAAATGGTCGCTCGACTCTAGTTTGCGAGAAATAAGCAGTTTAAAAAGTGACACACGCGAGGTTAGGAAATCTGTCATGTCGGTAATACAGAGACTTATGGTCTGTTCTTTTTAGTCGAAAAGTGTAAAATAGTACATGTTGGAGAGGGGCGAAGCCCTCTCCCCAAAGACATTTTCATATATTAAACATATGAATTTTTAGCTCATGTATCAGTGGTTATTACACAAATAACCACAAAAATAACCACTGATACATGAGCTAAAGATTAATATGTTTAATATATGAAAATGTCTCAAACATGTGTATACACATACACACACACACAAGGGAGGGTGCGGGAGGGGGGGCCGAAGGCTCCCCCTTGCACCTCTCCCGCGTGTGTGGTGTGTGTACATATGTTGGTACTGCATGTATATGTTTGAGACTTTTTCATTTGTTACATATCCCCCTCCCGCACCCTCCTCGTTCTTGTTGCGCCTTGAAAGTTATATCCAGGGGTTATAAACTCCTATTGGTATCACAGTCCTAGTGTTTGCAGCGCCCTCACTGAGTGACAGGCTCACGAACAAGAACTAAGATGCATAGTGTGAGTGAGTGTGAGTGAGAGAGAACCTAAAACTTATGGTGCGAGTGAGTGAGATAGAAAAATCCTTTCAATGTGGGTACGCGCACATATATGGTACACGTTGTATTTATAAAACATTAATATATTTATTTGCAATGTTGAACTGTACGAGAAAAAAAGAAAATGTTTCATATTGTTTTATTTAAATGCAATAATCATTTTATTATGAAAGTTATAATAAATTATTAATAAAATAATTGTAATAATTATTTTTTTCATGACCCTGCAACAAAAACATATTTTAATTATATTTTAATACATACTATAATAATAGTTTGGAAATATTATTTGTTAATTATATTTTTCTTACTTTTCTTGCAATATTTCAATGACATCCTACGTGCCTCATAATATATGTAAGTTTTATTGTGGTCATCTTTTATTTGTCCTCGCATAATTTTATTTATTATGTTGCTCCATTCTATTAGAAAATATTGTGCAAGAGTGTTAAGCAAAATGTTCTGCACATCAGTACAGTGAAAACGTGCTGTGGAAAATATCTGACTGAATATAGTTAAAAGTTTATTTTTAATTTTTGTCTTATAGCAGAAATCTGCAAATCTGTTTTCAGCTATTTCTATAGCACGATTCATCATTTGTATAGTGTTTTCGTTTTCCATTATTGCAGTACATTCAACACATATAATTTTACACTTCTTCCTGACTATATTAATAATCTTTTTTGCGTCTATGTACGAACTATGTGAGTTATCTGATTTTCCTTCATCTAATGTAATAGCGGCTTCATCGCATTCTACCTTTCTTTCACCTTCTTCTGGATTTTCAATTTCTTTTGCACGCATTAAAGCCATTAACGGTAAAAAAAACTTTCTTTATCTTTTTCACAATTTGCTGATATGGAGTGCTTCGATGTTAGATTGCACGTTAATATTGCTTTAAATGATGTACCAAATAAATATGATGTTGGATTTGTATTTTGATGTCCATGATTTCTTATTTGACTAAATAAATTTTCGACAGGATCTTGATTTAAATATTTTAAATTGAGTTTGGTAAACCCGCATTTCTGAAGCATTTGCCATAAACATTGTGCACCTTGAATTGTTTGTTTCCAGTTAACTAAACACTTTGGCTTATTTCTTCTTAAAGGTTTGTAGCTATTCTTTTCAACAAATTCCATTTTTTTCAGTTTGCGCAATGTTTCTGACCAAAATTTTAAATGGCCGCTATTTGGTGTGATAATAATGCTGAATCCTTGCTCACAACTTCCATTGAACGAATAGAATAGGTCGTCAAAGAAGAATAGTGCTTCTGCTGTGGTGGAGGCATTTTTGGACAAATGCATGGTACCATATTCTGTTTGCACGACACCTATAATAAAACAAAACTATGTAAACAACACATTGTTTTTTTTATATTAAAGTAAATAAAATTAATTGCTTCATAAATTAAATTATTATTTTACCTTCTTTATTGAAAGTAAGTATCATATGCATAAAGTTTGCTACAGTATGGCTTATGACTTGCACCGCAAACTTTACTTTCATTTTTGGAATTAAGTGTGGAAAAATATGACTATCTGTTAATTTTTTCATCTTTCGCCGATGTGGAAAGCATTTTTGGTCGATTGCATATGCTGCTATGATATCATCCCAAGAAGCACATTGACTTTCATGTTCTGAAGATTTGGCATCTTTATCAAGAAGTAAATCATTGTCTAAAAGGTTATTACGAATACCTTTTTGAAGATGTACGAAATCATATAAAGGCACAATAGGATTGTCTCCCACATAAAATATATTATCTAGCTGCAGTACTTCTGAAAAAAGAAAATAGTTGTGTCAATATTATATTATAATAAATAAACGGTATAAATATAATATGTAAATAAAAAAACATACTATTATGTCTTAAATATTGTGCGCGACTTTCTTCAAATAATGTATTTATTGTCGCTATATTTGGCCCTCCTTGGTCGCAAACAGTTGCTATCGGCTTAAAACCACATTGTTGCAAATATTTCAGCCATTCCTTCACACATCTCGAAAGTTGAATATACGTTGTTGCACTATTACAAAAACCATATCCAACAGGCATTTTATGATCAGATGCTAAACACCTGATATAGAATACAATAGCATGGTCTGCAAATCTTCTTGTTCGCCTCATTCCCCAATCTTCAAATCCAATAATTTTGTCGCTTTTAACATCATATGTAAGTGCTGGTTGAATAGCCATTTCATCCCAAGCAAGTATAATACAATATATAAATCTTTTAAATACATTTTTTTTGCACTTGATTTGAGATATTTTCCAATAATCTTATTATATCCAGTATCGATTGAAATGCGATTTAATTGCGTATTTAGAGTAGTATATGAAGGACACAGTAAATATTTGGACACAAAATTATAGGAGGAACGGGATCTACGATAAATGCCCAAACAAAACATTTTATCTTCTACAGTATATCGTCTTGCCTATGTCGAAAATAAAATAAAATATTTTATAAAATATTAAATACAGTAGATTTATTTTAAGCAATATGTGTGTGCGTGTGTTGCGTATGTGTATGTATGTGAATATATGTGGATGTATACAAAACAAAAATTACATAAAAATGTTTATATATAATATTATAGAAATAATACAAGCAGCATATATATGTACTGTACTATTGCATGATTAATTCTATACTAATATTATAAATTATTTATTCCATTATTCAACTGCTATACTTATATACAATGCATTTTATATACAGAGTGTCCGGTAATTCGCCCGCAGTATTTCGGGAGGTAATTTGATACCAAAAAAGAAAAAGAAAAAGCTATATAAACATAGGTCCGGAAATAAATCGTTTCCGAGTTATAGCCACTTTTATGTTAAAATATCATAATTTATTTTTTATAGTTCCTTAAATAAGAAATAGAGAAAACGAGAGTTAAAAAGTGTATCGAAGAAATGAATAATTAGAAATCTTACCAATATTGAAATCAAATGAAGAATGTAACATCCGTATCTAAAGGTGGAATAACAACATGTTCAACGGTCTAATGTTATCGTACTGTGCGCTATTCAGAGTATATACAAATATAAATACTAAAAGGCATCTGTGTACAATATATGTATACAAATATAAATATCATGAAGCATCATATGACCAAACAAGAAAATATAAAAAAAATGAATAGTTTCAAATTATGATAAATGATCATGAAAAATAAATTACGATATTTTAACATAAAAGTGGCTATAATTCGGAAACGATTTATTTCTGGACCTATGTTTATATAGCTTTTTCTTTTTATTTTATATATATATATAATTATATATATATATACAGGGTGTTTGATAGCTGATCATGCAGACGAAAGTTGGAGATAGATTGGGTGTAGCCGAGAAGAAAAGTCATGTACCATAATATCAAATTGGCAATAGTTATCGAGTTATTAATTAAAACATGTGAGCCAACGAGCGCGTAGAGAGTGGAGGGCGGCCGCAGTAAGCACGTAAGCACGTAAGCACGTAGACATTTGATACAGGCGGAGTCAGTGAGTGTCGGTAGGCAAGCGCGCGCGGCGAGGGGCAGCGTAAGCGACAAGAGGCGATTGCGCGCGACGAGGAGCGAGCGAGCTTTTTTTTTATTATAGGTTTTTGCTTATAGCTCGCTCACTCCTCGTCGTTCACGCTCGCTCGTTCTTCGTTGCGCTCGCTCGTCTCTTGTCGCTTGTGCTCGCTCGCTCCTCGTCGTTCGCGCTCGCTCGCTCCTCGTCGCGCGCGTTCGCCTCTTGTTGTTTACGTTGCCCCTCGCCGCGTGCGCTCGCCTACCGTTATCGCTGACTCCGCCTATATCAAATGTCTATGAGCTTACTGTGGTCACCCTCCGCTCTCTACGCGCTCGTTGGTTCATATGTTTTAATTAATAACTCAATAACTATTGCCAATTTGACACTATGGTACATGACTTTTCTTCTCAGCTACACTCAATCTATCTCCAACTTTCGTCTGCATGATCAGCTATCAAACACCCTGTATATAAAATTATATATATATATATATAAACTATGACATGTTTATATAAGAATACTATATTGAAATATTAATGTGATATATGAATTATATATATAAATATATATAATTATATTAGTGTACAAAAATAAATCATATTACGGATGCAAATTATATAATAAAATGCAATGATATACAATTGAAGTTAAAAATATTATTAAAGGCATTATATCTCATCGAATATTTGTATATGCTGGGGAAAATTTAAAAGGTGAAAGATGAGGAAGGGATTATATTACCTGTAGTGGAACATTATTATTTCTCAACATCACATTTATAAAGTTTTGTCAGATTTTTGTTGTCTTATCTTCTTGGCTTTTATCTATTCTTCTTTCTAATGTAACGTTTTTATTTACATTTTGTTGCTTTATTCTTTTAATCATTAATTTCATACGTCTCTTCTGTGCTTGGAGTTTTATATTATTATCATAAAATTTTCTTGCCGTTGGAGACAAACTTTTCTTCCGTGTTACTTCTGCAAGATTTGGTCTTCTTGTTTGCGATTTTAAGTGCAATTGTGTTTTCAGCGATCCTACTTCCTTCACTATTTCTTGTAATTGATCATGATGTTGTGTTTGTATTTGTGCTTGCATATGATATAATGTTTCTACGTCTTTCTGCAGTAGTGTTATATTTTCTTGTTGTGCCTGTTGTTGTTGTGACAATATATTCACATCCTCTTGTAATGGTATAGCAATTTCTTGTTTTTTTGATATCTTATCTATATCTATTTGTAATTCTTTATTATTCTCTTAAGGCTATTCTCGTAAGGCTATAATATTTTCTTGTTGAATGTTACGTTCTTCATGTCTCATATCACGATCTTGATATCCACTACTTGTTTGTTTTTCACTTATTTCTGTTGCCATATGAGGAACAGCAGCCCGAATTAATCTGCGAAGTTGGCTTCCGGTATAATCAGTTTCTTTGAAATGTTTATAACATACTCGTAATTTATTGATTTCTGTTTTTTTGTATGGCTTCAAGATTAAATTTGTCATCCACTTCTCACGCATTTCTACATTTTTTGGGAAAGTGTGTGATGACATTGTACCTGTCGACGTACAGTTGAGCACACAACATGCTCTTAGCATTTCTATATTATTTTTTTATATTTTTAATTGAAGAAAAATTACACTATATCTTTTGTTACCGCTATTTTGAGTCACTTCCTCACTCTCATTTACATTTCTATACGTACTTTTTCAATATGGCCGACACTCACACCATGCATCTTAGTTCTTGTTTGTGAGCCTGTCACTCAGTGAGGGCGCTGCAAACACTAGGACCGTGATACCAATAGGAGTTTATAACCCCTGGTTATATCCATAAGACTCTGTATTACCGACATGACAGATTTCCTAACCTCGCATGTGTCACTTTTTAACTATTTATTTCTCGCAAACTAGAGCCGAGCGACCATTTTTACTTGTAGATTCGGCTTCTACACGTCAAAATACACAAGATAGGTGAATTTGAGCGAAATCCAAGGTGAGGCCCGTCTTCTAAATAATTACTTTGTAACTTATGCAAATATGCCTATACATATATAAATATTTTAAGTTTTAAAATTTATGACATTTACCACTCATAAGAGAAATATTAATTTTATATATTTATAACATGTATAGGTGTTCTGTTATATTTAGAGTACCTATATATAGATTCTAATTATATGAAAATCAGCTTTTAGAGATTGTGATGAAAAGAGAGAAATATATATATATATATATTTTTATCTTTTTTCAGAAAAAATGCAAAAGCACGTCAAGGACGTGTAAATAGACGACAAATTGAAGCTCTCGTCGATTACTTAGAAAAGAATCCTAGTTTGGTGTCAGGAAAATTCAATCCACTGAATGCCAATGAAAATTTACAAGATAAATGGCAAGATTTATCAAATAATTTAAATTCTTTAGCAATGGATGGGAAAAAAGACGTAAAATCTTGGAAAACTGTAAGTATATATAATAATAATATACATATGAGCGCTGTCCGAAAAGCACTCAGCATTTACTGCGCACAAAATCATCTATAGTTTATGTCATATTGTATGTACTGTAGATTTTCAGCACAGGAAGTTCTGTGATCGAGTGCTTTTCCAATTGTGCCCTATGTAAAATAAGGTTAATTTACTGTTACAAAAAAAACATATTATTCCAGATAGCTAAACCCGCAAAAGCAGAATCCCACAGCAGTTCTATATATAGCCATCTGTGTCCGCATTTAGCTCGTGTTCTATGGACAGAGACTGTGTTTGACAGATCTGCTCCACTTCTGCCGTCAATCTGCTGTCAGACTCTGTCTAACTAGTGTCCACAGAACATGAGCTTAAGCAAATACATATTATGGATCTGCTGTGGGATCCTGCTGTTGGCAGAAGCTATTAGAGATATTCTCAAAATATGAGAACGTTAATAAATGTTAATTTCAATTATCTTCTTTATATTATACAACATAAAAATGCCTGCGTTTAAATGTGTGTTTGTACTTTTTGACTAAACAATATTTCTTTCTCTTAGTTATACAAGTTTCAAAAAGGGTGAGGGGGCTATATGTAATTATATTCTTTTCATCTACATCTATGTATGAACATATTACATATAGTCAGCTTTTTTAAATACCCTGTACAATAAACTTACATCTATATAGTGATTAATCTTTCATTCAATAACACTTTGTTACAGACTTGGAGAGACCATAAATCGAAAATATCAGACAAGGTGCAAAAATTCAGGCAGGCAAGGTCAAAAACAGGTAATAATCCAATCGATATAACATTATCTGAATTAGAGAAGCAAATTTTGGGACTGATAGGACATGATTATGTGCAAGGCCTTCCATCAGTACCCAATACTTTTCCTGAAGAACATTATATAAGTGAGAAACACACAATTTCTTCCATTATATGTTACATATGTTTTATTTTTTATATAACAAGTTGCTCCTATGCAACATGAGTTATGTTCTGATATTACTGCTAGTTCTGAAATATCTATTGTTTATGTCACGTATACTAGATATTTTCAGCACTGATAGTAAAGCCAGCAGCGCACAGTGTGTTTTTGGCTATTGCGTGCTCCTGTGCTGGCTATCTTGCTGGCTGCTCTGCTGGATTTTTGTAATAGATTCGGTGCTATTTTTCTTGCGTGGTCCTGTGCTGCATATCTTATTGTGAGAACCAATCAGAATATACAGCTTAACATGATGAACACCACTACCGTTTACATTTTTCTGTTGTAGCCAGTCAACTACACAAACGTCGACCATGTTCGTTTTGTCATTGTTTCAATTCTTAAATAATTGACAACTTGAATTATCATTTATCCGACGACGTACCGCAGCAGTGTCGGTCAACACCATACTTATTATTTATATATCCAGTTCCTTTGTAATAGAGTTGAGATCAGCTGCTCAGCCAGCACGAAAACTTGCACCGTGTGAAGCCTAACCGGTAACTCGGCCAGTAGCATTGCCAGCACAGCTGTCCATACAGTAGCAAGCACGCAAATCCATCAAGTAATTCAGTATGAAAAGAAGCATCGTGTGCTGCTGGCTTTATATCAGAACGCAGTCCTTGGTCTGTTCGTTTTAGCTGAACTGGCTCACTGGCTGCACTAGTTCTAGAAATTGAAGCACACTGAAGTGTAAGATTCTCGTATGTACGCTTTAGTCGCTTAATTTCGGGTACATTTCATGAACTAATACACAATCAGTTGAGTTAAAAAGAACAGCTCATATGATATATCCATTACTATTAGCGTTTTCGATTTAGCAAGTTGGAACTGGGTTGCTAAATCGAAAACGCTAGTATATGTTTTACTTACAGAGTTTTACTTGCAGAGGCTTGCTTTATTTACAAACCGCCAACGTTCTGAATGTAAAATTTTACGCTCTATCGATTCTCGGGATGGAAAGTAAACTTCTCCCTTTGAAAAACATGAAATGATTTTCAAATGACCTTGAAAAACGACTTCAAGGTCGACTTCAAAGTCGCCATCAAGTGCATCATTTTGAACTCTACAACTTTGGTCCTAAGCACTTATTTCAGAAAATGTATCGTTTCAGAAATAATTAGCCATAACTGTTTCCACCTCCAGGAGTTGAGGGGTGCTTTCTACCCCTAAAAAGCGTATTTAACTGAAACAAAAAGACACGTACTTAATATTTTCGGTGTTTAATAAGTATGTTAAGTTTCATTCAAATCGGTGAGTATCAGTTGGGTAGTGTTACTTGTGAGTGGCTTGATGCCGACGAGGTGTCGAGACATCTCGGCGCGCCGCCGGATGTGATAAGGAGCTTGGTCAACAGGATGCTCTATGTTACCTGATATGGGATCGGGTTACTCGAGGATTCCAGAGCGCTCACGGTGGCCTGTTTTTCTCACCCCGCTTATCTCGGAGACTTCCGTCGCCAGTCTTAATAATTAATTAACGCATGTGCCTGTCTATATGTTACTGCAATATTAATATAATAGTTGTTAATACAGTATGTGTAGTTCTTATAGCTATAGCATATGCTTAATATGGTAACATGTGAATAAAATAATAAGATATTATAATATAAGTTAATTATAATTTTACTAATGGAAATATGCATTTGCTATAATAAAAGGAGCATTTATTATTAATGTTTAAATGGTTTTGTTAAAAATTATGATAAGAGATGCATATTGTTAACAGTGGGTATAGGTAAGTAGAGTATAGAAACTTATAATATTGTTAATGGAGAAGGAGGATACCTTTTTGCAGGGATCCTTAGTATTGCTGTCGGGATATTAATGTTTATCGGTAAGTGTGTGTTCTACCGTAGGGTTCCTTATTCACGTATGACGGTAAGGTAAATTTCTTTAGGAGGTTTCGTCATTATCGAAGTTCGGTAATTAATTAATAATTGTTATAAAAAATTCTTACTTATAAATTACTGTTTCTCGAGCCTTATGCAAGCCTTTGGTAGTGGAAAATTGAGTAGACAAAAGATTTTTAACACTAGTGAAAGACTCGAGTAGTGGTATCGCATGAACAATTTCAAGTGAGTGAAGTATTGGAGAGTCTCTAAAGTATGAATAAGAACAATTAATGTCTTTTTGCTGTAACTTTGGTTCTTTCGAATAATTTGTGATTTTGAGACTTGCATGGGTTTAGTTATAGTTTTCTCTATATATTCTCTATATATTCATTAGACGAAAGTGATTTAATTTGGTCCGTATTTGGCCATATCTTTTGAAGGAATGATTATTTCTTAATTTTTCTATGTTGGGCCTGTTACTGGGACCTTAAGGATCCTTCGGTATAGATCTCAGAATTTATTTGTTATGGAATAATGTTTTATTTTTTATTATGTCTCTTAATTGTTAATATTCTCTGAATGTTGGTATGGCCCTTGGATAGAGGCCCTTTTATACTGTTATTAGAATACTAGATTTTTTATTTACGTCTTATGGCTGCTGAGAAAAACCGACTTCTCCGATTGGTCGAGACATTTAAATGGCTATAAGTTTCAAACTATTCATTTCACAAAATTTTTGTTATAACGGTATTTGCAGTATTTTAGAAGAGCTTTCAATTGCACTGAGCGGTTTTCTAAAATTATTCTTATTTTAAGAGATATAGACTTTTGTTCTTAATTTTGGCCGTAAATAAATACTTTTGATGAGTGAAGTTGATTATATTCCTTACTAGCCTTCTGATTCTGAGGCGAAAAATATGAAGGAGGGCACGTCGTGGGACGTTACACCAGCTTGTAAGTGGTCGCTAGAAAATACAAGTTCCTCCGCAGGAGCTACAGTCCCGGAAAACGCGACACGCGTGTCCCGGTACAGAGCGATGCCCGCCGCGACACGGAACAGACAGGGCGTCCAAAAGTTGATTCAATTGCAAGAGGTACCCGGAACCTCCAACGCATAAATTTAAATACAATCTCAGGTGACGTTCCGAACGTCATGCTTTCGTTACCGAATCTTAACAAAACTGTTCTTTTTATGATCGATTCAGGATCCGCCGTGAACTTAATTCAGCGCCACCTTCTAGAACCTGGCGTGCACGTAAATAATAACGTACAATTGACTCTACAAAGCATCTCACCTAAACCGATAACTACCATGGAATGTGTACAAATTACATTTCTCGGGAAACTTGCTAATTTTCATGTGCTGCCAGATGAGTTCCCTTTTGAAGAACACGAAATCTTAGGAAACGAATTCTTTAAACACAATGCAAGCCCGACTATCACAATAAACGCGTTCGGTGCAAGCAAATCAGCATACCTTTTATAGAAGAAGGATCCATCGTGATACAACCACGTACCGTCACTCCTTTCCACGTCATTATTTCTAACCCTGAGAAATCCACTGATTATATTCCTCTCCTGAACCTTGTACAGAGAGTTTACTTAGGTAACGCCTTTATTTCTAATTCCGATGGCGAAGGTCATCTTCCTATATTCAACACTACAGAATACAGATATACATGGTGGACCTGAATTCTTGCCCATCGTCGGCTGTGAGACGTCGAGAAATTGAACGCGCGCACCGGCATCAGAATTGAGAGATCTGATTACACTTTGGACAAAAAAGTATTCGTTTTTCGTATAAAAATAGGTCATACGTCAACAAGAGGCAACAGACGTAATCAAAATATCGGCAAAATACATGGTGGATTTGAATTCTTGCCCACCGCTGGCTGTGAGACGTCGAGAAATTGAACGCGCGAACCGGCATCAGATTCGAGAGATCTGATTACGCTTTGGACAAAAAAGTATTCATTTTTCGTATAAAAATAGGTCGCACGTCAACAAGAAGCAACAGACGCAATCAAAATATCGGCAGCAAATATTAGCGGTGTTCGCGAGGAAATATCCAAATAATTGCGGAACGCTAATAGGCGTATATGTTGAGGTTGTTTCATCCTAAATTCCTATAGTAGAGTATCTCTAAAGTCTGACTTCACCCCTGGATTTCGGAAACGGCTTCAAATATGAAAAAATTTCTAACAGAAATTATATGGCTTAAAGGGAGACATAAAAGCGATAGCGTTTTGTTTACAAATGGCGCCATTTTTTTAATATTTACTGATCATTAATTTTCTCAGACAGAAATCCTAATTTTTTATTATATTGTCTTTTTCTACCAATTAATTTGAGCAACTTTTGTCTGAAATATTTTTTTATTTGCCTAATATTTTTGAGATATTTAAGGAAAACTTTTTCAACATTTAATTTACGATATCTCGCTAATCATTTGTCGAAAGAAAAAGTAGTACTAGACTTTTTTACTCCATTTGAAATCAAGAATATATTGTTACAATAGCGCTCTGACTTTTTGTTAATTTAATAATTTCGAAATTTCCAAAGATTGATAAGTTAATAAAAATTGGGACACTATTGTAGCAATATATTCTACGGACTAAATAGAGTAAAAAAGTCTAATATCACTTTTTCTTTCGACAAATGATTAGCGAGATATCGTAAATTAAATGTTGAAAAAGTTTTCCTTAAATATCATATATTCATTCAACGTCGATGACAAATTTATTAACATTAAAGAAATTATGGATTATAACTTTTTTAACTTACACTCAAATTTAAAAATATTTTTCACTTAAAATATTATTAGACAATTAATACTCTCCTTTAATATGCTGTTTTACAAATTTTATAAAGCCTTTTGCCACTTTTCTTCACAATCACTATTTGTTTTCATTTCTTCAATTATAACTCAAAGTCTCCAAGACATTTGTGTCTACGCCACAATCACTACTTATTTGACACTCGTATATGCCATTCTTCTGCTCTCGTAATAAGTGACAGCGCTGACGTATGAAGCAGTGGTTGTCTTTCTCCTCAAGTCGGAGCGCGTTCCGAAGTCAACAAAAAATCGATGCACATACCTTTTAGTTCACGAGTATACACATCAGAGTACTACCAAAGAAGATGCACTTCTTTAAGAGAACAATACAATCGCGAAAAGGAAAAGATGGAAAATGAATGTAAAAGTGGAAGTGCTGCTCCAAATCCCAAATCTAAATTTTCATTATATTCTAAATTAAAATTTTTGGATGAAGTCATTAAAAGACGAAGGTATTATAATGTCAATAAACTTAACAATGTAATATTTATAACATATCTTTTTTTAATATCATTATTTGTTTCAGAACTTATAGTAATGTACCAAAATGGCAATCGAATTCAACTTTAATTGACAAAAGTGTTTCAAGAAATAAAGCATGCATCTCAGACAATGTTGACACTTCTTCAAGTAATAAAGAAAATTAAGACATTAAGAAACAAGAAATTATTGATAAAGGAAGTTCTTCTCCAGAAGTTTTAATAAATTCTGCAGCGCCAAAAAGAAGAAAAATGAATGAAACGAAGGAATTTGAAGAAACGTTTTTGAATATGAGCAACAGAATTATGAATTATATGGAAAGTTCAAAATCATTCGCACCAGATGAGGCATTTATGCAATTTATTACAGCACAGTTTCAAAGTCTACCTGAATATAAGAAAAATTTAAGAAGGAAAATGATTATGGATGCTGTATGTTTGCCATTACCAAAGACATAATTTCATTTTATATATTTTATTATCCTTTTATATATTTTATTACATGTTTTCTAAAACGTATTAATTATTTTCTTGTTTATTTGACGTAATTTAAAGTATAATTTCGGTTTTTATACTGTAATAATTTTATACTGTGATAACTAGTTTTAATAGTGACTTTTTACTGTGATAACTAGTTATAAATTTAATTTATTTATTTATCATAGTGATTATTACGTCTCTAAATATATAGTATATATTTAGAGACATAATAATAGTATAAGTATATAGTATAAGTAGTATAAGTATATATAGTAAGGTATATAGTAAGGTTTCAATGATCTCTTATTGATGTTTAAAACATTATTAAGACGTTATTTGATATCATATTGTTTTTAATTCATTGCAAATATCTTTCAAATTACAAAAATCTCGCAAGTTTTGTTTTTCTATTATGTTTTACTGTCACTACAATGAGATTATATTGAAATTAATTTATATAACTACTTGAGACAAGGACTTATCTATTTTTTTTTATTATTATAATTATTATTGATAGTGAGATTATAATTAGATTAATTTATGTAACTACTTGAGAAAGAAGACTTATCTGTTTTTTTTTTACATATTCTTTTTACTTAATATACTATTTTATTATATTGAATATAAATATATGAATATAAGTGTAAAATATATGAAAATAAATATGTGAATAAATGTATGAATATAAATATACAATTATAAAAGTTGAAAATTTTAATATACCTTTTCACGTTATATATATGAAGAAATGTATTTAATTAACGTACAAAATGTGTAATAATTCAAATTTTTTTTATTTCATCCATCTGCATGAACACCTCTACGGATAAAGTCATACTGCCACTCTACTTGTCCAGGTGGAGAAATAAAATAATTGCATGTATTTCTTTGAGCTTGAGCTTCTTTTATATTACCACTACATTCTTCAGCATTTGGTAATGACAACCACATCGCATCCTAGAATATGATTTAAGAAATGTTATTTAAATAATAAAAAAATATGTACAAAACAACTTATATTTCTCTAATTACTGAATCGTAATTAATCATAATTGTTTACCTCATTTATATTTTCTGAAATTATTTCACTACTATAATGGTTATATCTACAGCATTGTTCTTCCTGTAACACATAATTATGTAGACAGACCAAAACTGTAGCCATTAAATTTGCAGTTTCTGGTAGTGTGCAAATAACTGAATGAAATATTCTCCATTTATTGGCAAGAATTCCAAAAGCACTCTCAACAGTTCTGTGTGCTCTGGAAAATCTGTAATTACAAATTTTCTGCTCATCGCTCAAATGTTTACCAGAATAGGGTTTCATTATCCTGGTTGAGAGTCTAAAGGCATCATCAGCAATAAAATATCCAAATGTCTTCAAATTGCTACCAGGAAGATTAGCAGTTCCTTTCAGCAGATTTAATTGTTCATTATTTAACTTTATTCCTATTTCAGAATCGTTAAAAATTCCTTCATCGCTATCTCCTACAAAATCAAACATAATTATTTTGTTTTAAATGTATTTTGCAAAAGTGTAAATAACATGTCGTTAACATATTATTTATAATTTAAAGGATATCACAGGCATAACACATAGATACTAATATTTTTTTAAGACTTACCTCCATAAGCTCCTGTATCAACTAAAGTAAATCTATATAAATGGTCCGCTACTGTCATTAAAACTATGCTATATTTTTTATAATTATAAAATAAAGTTCCACTATTAGGAGAACATTGAATTTTTATGTGCTTCCCGTCAACTGATCCAAAACAATTTGGAAGATTCCACTTCTTCCAATATCCATCTGTACATTTCTTCCAATCTTCTTCAGCAGGAAAAGTAAGATACATTGGTTGTAAAACTTTTATAATTACTACACAAACTTCCTTTACTATTTTCCTGACTGTAGATTCTCCAACTCGAAATGCTACAGCTATTGATATAGGTAAGTCATCTGTAGCAAGGTATCTACAAAAATTAAAATAATAAATTTATATTATACAACATACATTATTTTTCCTTTTATTTGTACAGTTTCTATTGTATAATATTCATTAATGTTTTACGACAACATTAATTATTGCAATATCAAATATTTTAAACTAACATACATTGTGAAATTATTACCTTAGAGTTATTATAAGTCGATGTTCTGGAACAAAAGCTCGTTTACTGTTTTTTTTTTAATATGGTGCAGTTAATTCTAGCAGTTTTGTAAATTGTTCTAATGACATTCTAGTATAGCGATAAAACATGTTTCTGTCATTTTTTAACTCACAAAATAAATTTTTATAATCTCCAAATTTATCTCTTTTTTGGTTTATTGGTCTAGTATGCTATCTTCTATTCAACCATCTAATTTGTTCTTTTCTTTTACGTACAAGCAAAATATATGTATTTATCCATTGAAGGACACAGATTAAAAAATCATTAATATTTTTTATATTATTCATTGCGTATATTTTCTCCTAAAAGTATTATTATTTATTATATAATAATGTCCATGAGAATAATAACTGATAGTATATAATTTATGTATAATAATAATAAATAATTTTAATGAATTGCATATAAGTTTTAATGTATATAGAATTAATCAGGTTATATACCTATCTTTGGATACATATCACAGTGAGATCTGTTATACGAACAAGTATACGACAAAGCTTGCGCGTTGACCTACGACTACGACTTGTCGTAAAGGCCATTGCACGTACAAAAGTTGAAGGCCTGATCTACAATACGTGTCGTAAGTTGTGAGCCGTAAGAATTGGCGAATCACAGTCGATTATTACAAAAATAATCAGCTATAATTGGTCAGTTCTTACGGCTTACAGCTTACAACACCTATTGTAGACCAGGCTTTAGTCGTAACCGTAAGTCCGTAAACAAATTGACCAATCATAATTTGTATATTTCGAGATGCTGGATTGTGATTGGTCAATTTGCTTACGGTCTTACGGTTACGACTAAAATTTTTTTACGTGCAATGGTCTTAACTGTTACGACATGTTTTGTGTTTTAGCCCTAAGACCGTGCACCAAACACAGATTTTACCACCGAGACCTGAAAGTGGATGTAGCATCATAGTTCGCCTCTCAAAATGGATGCAGATGGCGTCCTTTCCCAGTGCGGAGAGTCGATATCGTAGAAAATGCCGTGTTGGCCGCTCTCACATGCACATTTTTGAAGGGGATATGTAAAAATATGATCAAAATAAAAAGAAGGGAAATATAGAAGAAACTAAAACAAAATATACTATAACAGCATAATAGAAGAAGAAGAAGAAGAAAAAGAAAAACGAGACAGAGAAAACCATGTCTATAATAACTTGAACAAAGTGCAAATGTAAAATAATATAAACAAAATGTATATCAAACATCGTAACATTGTCATACAATATTCAGAAGTAATATAGAATATGCAGCATAACTTTGCTTTGTCAGAGTGGTATCATATAAATGTATTAATCATTGTGTTACTCATCAATATAGACTGAATAAATGTACCCAGACAGCACACGGATGTCCATTGGACGTCCATTATATGTCCATTTTTTTTTACAAAAGACGCCCATAGGACGTACGTTTGTCACAACTTGGGACATACGACGTCCGATGTACGTCCATCGATGGACGGCCGATGGACGTACATCAGACGTCCTACAGGTCCGATGTCCAATAAGGACATCCTTGTTACGTCCAATTTATGTCCACGGACGTAAATCGGATATACGGACATAAATTGGACGTGAAACGTACATCCATTGGATGCTCGGTGATGTCTGGGTAGATGTGGATGAATTACTTAGCAGGTTATAAATAGGCAGGTATAGAATTGAGATAACTAGAAGAAATAAGTAGTATATCAGGTATAAAGTACATTCTATAAAGTATAATCATTCGACATTACAGAACATTGCAAATTATGAACCAGTAAGTGAAAAATATATTTTATATTGGGTATAAAAGCATAACATATCAAGCTGATCATACAGTTGATCAGTTCAGGATTACAATAAGTATATCATACTAATTTTAACAAATATAATAAAATTTCAATTTGCTTCACATGTAGTAAAATTTCCTACATTAGGAAAGAAAAATGCAACAATGACATATTTTCTAAAAATATGTTTACATAATCTATTCTATATAAACTTATTTGCTGTATCAATTTAAAATTTACTTGAAATTGTACATATAAATTTATATACATTATTTATATTTTTAGATATTGTAGATAGTACAAATATAAGAATTGATAAACTAATATAAGATCATGCATCATAAATCAATAGAATAGTCCAGTACAAGATAAAATAATTAATATTGTAAGTCAAAGAGAGAAGAAAAATAAAAGAAAAAGAAAAATAACAGGATTGCAATAAATAACATAAATAACAGAAATTATAAAGAAAGAAAAAACTATCATACAGGTGAGTAAATACATAGTCTATATGTAATATGTACACATAATATATTTAATACATATTTATACATAATAAATTAATATATCTGTTTCCACTTTGGTACAGTCTTGGACTTTTTATTCTTCTTCGAAACCAAGTGTAGAAGGTGATATCAATTCTACAATTTCTTTTATCTTATCCCAACAGCATAATATTGTTCCACATAATATAAGTATCATTCCCATATATGTATCTAAATAGCAAATTGATGAAATGATTAATTCATTGTAACATTTATTTCTGTCAAAATATGAAAGCTTATATTTACTAACTTCTATGTACTTTCTCTTCACCCAAAAACCAGCCTGTGATTGCAGTGAATACAAAAGTAAGGGAATTTGAAACAGGTACAGCAAGAGATATATCTGTACTCTGCAGAGTTAAATAATATAATACTGAGCCACATTGATTAAGAAGAAAAGGCAAAATATACTACAAGAAAATCAATAATGAACTATACTAACATACAACATTATTTTGTAAAAACATTGTGATCTATGGAAAAGTGTGAAACCTTTAAGTTAGTCACAAGAAACAAAATTTCCTGGATAAATTGCCCATAAACAGACATAGCCTTGACATCCTCTAAGCCTTGTGCACCTTTCTTAATAAATGGATTAGTTACGCCCCATAGGATCGCTACAAGACATAAATATATCACAGAATCTATAAAAAAATCAAAAGTCACATCGATAAAGATCAATCTTGAGTATTGAATTTGTTCCATTGCACTTCGATAATTCTTAACATGTCAGTAAATAGATTATTAAATAAACGAATCTAACCAATAGTAACCAACATCGCTGTCAATTATAACATATAAAATACTATAAACATTCAATGACGTATAAAGCAATTTGTTACAAAAATTTGTTAAACAATTCGCAACACATTCCATGATATCGTATCAAACATAAACTGTTCAGTCAGATCACTTATGGTTCCGGACTGCATTCAGCTTTGTCCATAGGCCATTTTCAATAGTATGAAGGTAAAAGAAAAACAGGGACAACGCGCGTACATAATCCCCACGACCAAAAAATATGAGTAGTTACAGGAACCATATTCAACCGCCACGGAGCCGAACTAAATAGTTTGTTCTTTATAACTGCACTGCTGAACTGATGCAATAAGCTAGAGTGAAAAAACCTATATTTATCTCACTTTAACTTATTGCACTAGTTCAACAGTGCAGCTACAAAGAACAGACCACGATCTTACATACAGGCTGAAAACTTGTAGGGAGTGACTCAGATAGTGCGGCAAGCACCCCTAGGTTGCACTGCCGCAGGTGGCGTAACCGAGAACTACCATCCCAAAAGTGTTACCATCACGGTGGTTATCATCGACAGAAGTGTTTAAATAATCCAAATAGTTGTGCAATGATGTTAAAAAAACAATATTTTTAAAATAGAAATGCAATGACTTTTTTACCCATTCATTAAATTTATTTTATAGATTCGTTCTCTATTTCTTTTTTTCATTAATTTCTTTTTTTATTGGTATGGGTACTTCATTTTTCGTTTGTTTATACTTCTTTAATTTTTTAAATTATTTGTATAATGTGAGTGCGAAAGTAGAGGAACAAAGGAAAGGCGTACAAAAAAGTAACAGACGCATTGTGTATATTGTCATAACTTTTATGTGTAACATTGCACACCGTTCTTCGAGCAAATTATCTTTTATCGCAACAAATTCGTCTTGTTTCTGTCTTAATCACGCTGACAATATTTTCATCCGTCTCGTTCGACGATTTTTTGCTCGTCTCTGACGATTTATCTTCAGCCGCATAGCGTTAAACTTTCTCTGATCAGCAGGATTTGACAAAGCAGCAAATCGTTTGAATTTATCATGTTTTGTGTAACGAAAATTTTTTTGCAGTAACATCCTCCTGAGTCGCGTACAAAAATTGCACGTATTTTTATTTCCGATTAACATACATTTCGTTGACCGGTTAATGTTCATATTATCTTTATATACAGCAACACTCTCTACAAGATTTATGTTGGCATCTCTCAATCCATCACAAACATGCAGATCATGAAATTCGTTTAAGATGTTCGGCAAAATTCGAGGGTCAGTCAGTTCTTGTGGAAGTTGTGGTACGTCATGCTTTACAAGCTTTCCATGGATCGCATATTTAATTCTTCTCTTATTATCAATCACGATACCTTTACGAATTACAGCAATATCACCGTTATTTGCAGCATTTGAGACAATCTGAGATAACATCAGAAGCTTCTGTTCTGTTGATGATTCAACGATACTCCATGAATTCGACACAGTCACTGTACAAACATCGTCGCCGATTTAAAAATGTATTTGTGAATCATTTGTCACAGAAAATGTCAAAAATTGATCATCGCTGGAGAAGTGAGATTCAATTTCCACATCTAGGTTATCCGTAGTGCTACTGATATTTTCTGCTTCGTTTAATGACTTCAACTCATCTACCGATTCTACTGATTTTACAGCCTTTTCTTCATTTTCGATAGTTCTAAAGGATGCTGTTCTTTGCACCAAGCATCTATTGGCATCAGTATCAGATGTCGCAACTTTGACCACTGCTGTTGTATCTATAATGCGATCTATAATGCGATATTATTAATGGTCAACATTAAATGCTATTCATTTAGACAATTCTATTTTGGTTGCACTTACTTTCTTTGTCAGTGCCTTCATGCGCTAAATATTCACAGTAAAAAATCGATGGAACCGCAGATTCCAGCAAACGAGAACGTTTGTAAGGAATCTGTCAAAAAGATTGTCTCGTTATATACAGGGTGCACGATTTATCTGAAGACATTGAAATATCTCGAGAACTATGCATTGGATAAAAAAAAGTGGTTAATGAAAGTTGTTAGTCTCGAAGGGGGACATCCAATGATACCAAACTCGACCTCCCACCCCACCTCCTGGGGGTGGGGGTTGGGGACAACTTTGAAATCTTAAATGGAAACCCCCATTTTTTATTGCAGATACGGATTCTACGCCACAAATACGTAAATTTTGTCCAAAACTTTTTTTATGATTCGCGATAGATGGCGCTGTAATCGCAAAAAATTATATTTTCCGCAATTCTCCAGAAATGATCATTAGATTGAGAAATAAAAAATACCTGTTCAATATTTTTAAAGAACATAATAAAAGTTATTCCCCTCCATCCTCTCGGGGTAGGGTGGGTGGTAACGTTCAAATCTGAAATGGGAACCCGAATCGAAGAGGGAACTGCTCGACGCGCCACTGTGGGTGTATGGCGAACTACGGCTTATTATAAAAAATTGTTTCAATGGAAAAAATTGTTTCAATAAAAATTTCACGTACAATCTAATTCTGCAATGAAAAATGTGGGTCCCCATTTCAGATATGAACGTTATCATCCACCCTACCCCGAGAGGATGGGGGGGAATAACTTTTATTATGTTCTTTAAAAATATTGAACAGGTATTTTTTATTTCTCAATCCAATGATCATTTCTGGAGAATTGCGGAAAATATAATTTTTTGCGATTACAGCGCCATCTATCACGAATTAAAAAAAAAGTTTCGGACAAAATTTACGTATTTTGTGGCGAAGAATCAGTATCTGCCATAAAAATGGGGGTTTCCATTTAAGATTTCAAAGTTGCCCCCAACCCCCACCCCCAGGGAGTGGGGTGGGAGGTCGAGTTTGGTATCATTGGATGTCCCCCTTCGAGACTAACAACTTTCATTAACCACTTTTTTTTATCCAATGCATTGTCCTCGAGATATTTCAATATCTTCAGATAAATCGTGCACCCTGTATATATACACTCAAACGCAAAAAACCCGGTACATTAAAAATTTGGGAAAAAATTACAAAATTTCAAATGATCATAACTTGGTAAACAATGAAGATACAAATATGCGCAGAAATGCAAAATGAAGCTTGAAACGTCCTCTTTAAGAATATCTGAATGGCAATTATGCTCGGCCATTTTTTTCAAAATGGCGGATGATAAAGTGAGAGGATGCAAAATTGATAATCAAAGGTCCGTGTTTGCGATGGTGCATGGTGTGCATCAGGTATCGCAGCGTAATGGGACCAAATGCACATGAAAGTATAGAGTGTTATCTTTAAAATGCTACATTACCGAGCTCGATGTGATCATTTTTCACTGAGTTGTTCCAAATTTTGCTAAAAATGCGGTTTTCTTGTTAAATTTGCATAATTCAGTGAATAAGTATCTCATCAAGCTCTATAACGAAGTATTTTAAAGAAAACGTTCTATACTTTTAGGTACTTTTCGTCCCATTGAGCTGCGACACTTACTTTGCTCCATGCGCCGTTGCACGCTCGAACCTTTTTTTAGCAACTTTTCATGTTCTCCTTTTTATCACCCGCCATTTTGAAAAAATATCGTTGCGCACAATTTCGATAGATCTTTCGAAAAGTACGGTTTCAAAGCTTTCAAACCGTTTTTGAAATTTGCTGCTAGGATATTTAGGTATCGAGATATTCAATTTCGAATTTGCAACAAATGTCGATTCAGCGAGGCTTAAGGGGCTAAGAGGCTCTGCGGTTCGTTTGGCTCTTTCATAATTTCAATAGCTGTGTTCATGTTTCTCTATATAATAATTTACATAACCTGCACAATATATTCAACGATTTGCATTTATTATTTTGAAAGCCAGGGAAATGAAAGTAAAATTCAATTTAGGTTCTTCATTTTACGTAATCGATATTACGTAATAAAGATGAATTGCGTTTTAAGATACCGCTGTCATTAGCTCAAATTATGGTTGTAAGTCTCCCCAATATAAACCGCATGGAGTTTTACTGGTAGGAAAAGTCCCATTGTATGTAGTGTGTGTGTGTGCGTGTGCGTGCGTGCGTGCGTGCGTGCGTGCGTGCGTGCGTGCGTGCGTGCGTGCGTGTGTGTGTGTGTGTGTGAGCGCGTGCGTGCGTGTGTGTGTGTGTGTGTGTGCGTGTGTGCGTGCATGCGCGCGTGTGTGTGTGTGCGTGTGTGCGTGTGTGCGCGTGTGCGCGCGTGTGTGTGTGTGTGTGTGTGTGTTTGTATACCACAAGGATAAGGACCCCGTGGTTCGTCAGTTCCACAGTATTTCAAGATTTCGCACCCTCCTTATGATGTGTGTGTGTGTGTGTGTGTGGTGTTACAGCAGAGATAAGGACCCCGCAGTTCGTCACTCCTGCAGTAATTAATGACTCCAAACCCTCTCTGCTGTGTGTGTGGTGTGTGTATACTAATAGTGGGTATGACTGCCTTGTGCGCGTATTACCTCATTCATACGATCAGGCATACTCCTTATTAGTCTTTTAATTTCATCCTGCGTAATTGTATTCCATTCGTTTTCGAGAATTATTCGCAGTTCTCGCAGTGACTGAGGAGCAGGTACATGATTTCGTACTTTCCTGCCGAGGTTGTCCCATAAGTGTTCGATTGGATTTAAATCTGGACTAGTTGCTGGCCAATCGAGTCGATTTATGCCAACTTCATCGAAGAAATCAAGCACTCTTCTCGCAGTGTGTGGTCGCATTGTCTTGCATAAACAAGAAGTTCTTTCCGATGAAGGGTGCGTACGGAACAACATACGGAATGAGTATGTCTTCCACGTATACATCTGCGTTCATATTCTTGTCAAAAAAGTGCAGATCTGTATGAGCATTAGCTGAAATTCCTGTCCAAATCATTACAGAGCCTCCATTGTAGCTATGCCTCTCACTTACCGTACAGTCTGCAAATCGTTCTCCACCGCGACGATAAACTCGTTCTCGTCCATCTGGAGAATAGACACAAAAACGAGATTCATCGCTAAAGAGTACTTTGCTCCAGTCTGCGTAAGTCCAGTCTCTATGCTCAACTGCAAAATTGAGTCGAGCTACGCGATGGTGACATTTAAGCAAAGGTACAGCTGCTGGCCTGCGCGAAAGCAGATTTTGTTCCTTTAATCTTCTCCGAACGGTGTTAACGGATACATTAATGTTGCGGACATCCCTTAAATTGTTTCTAATTTGAACAGATGTTCGATGTCTGTCTCTTAACGAATTTGAAACAATAAATCGGTCATCATTGTGATTGGTACATTGAGGACGTCCCAAACCAGGCCTTCTATGGAAAGAATTGGTTTGTAAGTACCTGGCATAAGCACGTTGCACAGTTGACACTGACAAATCAAGTGCCTGAGCAACGT